AGTTAACTAAAGGTTCCCTATTACTATTATTATTAGTTTTCGATTTATTTGAATTTTTAAGGAAAAAAAGTCTCCCAGAAATTAATTATTTACTCTTGTTTGAATAATTTTAAATGAACTAATTTTTTTTTCTTATGTGGGACATCCTGTATCCATCTAACAAATTTTAAATTGTAGCCGTCTGTAACCTACGTATTCCTCCCAAACGAATTTTTTATATCTTTGGTCGTTTTCCCATAAAGCTCCGTCCCGTTGAGCGTGAGCCACCCTGTATATATATTTATATATTAGAAATAACAGTGTTTCACTTATGAATCAGGTCTTGTGCTGCCTTCGCTATTATGCCAGTGCTGGTCATCTAAGACAGGTAGCAGACTTTATGGGAATGGAAATTAGTACAGCCTGTAGGATTGTTAGTAAAGTATCGAGGATAATTGCCAGTTTATTCTCTCGTTACATTAAAATCCCTGAACAAAACCAGTTTCTACAGGGACAAAATAAATTTTATAATATTTCTCGCTTTCCCCGTGTTTTAGGAGTTGTTGATGGCACTTACATCAGAATACAATCTCCTGGTAAGATTAAAAATCATCCTAAATAATTTGAAACATACTGTTTGATTTTTATTTAGATGAAGCAAGTAACAGATGTAAAAACTTTTCGCATGCATAGTTATAACAATATGTAGTATTTGGTGCTAACTGGGATATCATAAACCTAGTTAGCACTAAAACACACCTATGGTCTCGAAACAGTTATAAGTTTTATCACCTATTTTATCTAAATAAAACAGTACTTTACAATAAATAAATAATTTGCTTTTAGGAGGTGATAATGCAGAGGTATTTAAAAATAGAAAGGGTTATTACTCTTTAAATGTTCAGGTAGTGGGAAACGCAGATCTACAATTTTTGGATGTGGTGGAACGATGGCCTGGATCCACTCATGATGCAACAATATTTGGTCATAGCAATTTGAGATTTCGATTTGAAGCCAGTCATTTTCCGAATAGTGTTCTCTTAGATATTAACACTAACAAAATAAAAATGCTGTGTGTGAAAGTACTTATCTATTTATACTTTTTATTACAGGAGAGAGTGGATACCCAACAAAAAGCTACCTGCTTACGCCATTAGTGAATCCTGTACCAAGAGCTGAACAGTTATTCAATGAATCTTTAGTACGGACTAGAAATCTCATTGAAAGGATTATGGGAATATGGAAGAGAAGATTTCCCATTGTAGCGTATGGAATAAGGCTCAATTTAGAAACAACAAAAGCCATAATAATTGCAATAACAGTGCTGCACAATATTGCTAGACAGATGAACGAGCCAGAACCACCACCACCACCACCACCACCACCACCACCACCACCACCACCAGAAAACATGAATCTAAATGAGCTAAACTACATTATAGAAACCGAGAATGTAGACATACCTGCAGTTAGAAATTTCAATATAAATCATGTCCAACGGGAAATTATTAACTTTTTTAGAGAACTAGAAGTGTAGGTTAAGTTGAATAATGGTATTGCAATAAAATTTTTACTTGAATATGTACATATTAGGTCACAGTTTAAAAAATAAAAGATTACTTTGCTATGAATGATTTAATTATGAATTTGTTGTTTTTTTATTTGAATATCAATAGTTTTCATTTCAATATCTAACTTTAGAGCTTTCATTCTCATATTATGTTCTTCATTTGATTGCTCTATTTCTTTTTTAATTTTTTTCAAAGTATAATCCGCAATCAAATTTTTTTTGTCAGCCAGTATATTGTACTTTTCAGCCAGCTGGTTTGAGGCCAGGCTCCTCACAACAGTTTCAGTTGGTCTTCTTCTATTAAGCGGCCTCTGAATTGCATTATTTACATTTCTGACGTTTATATCGTCAAGACTATGTGATAGCTAAAAAATTAAAATTATTATTATTTTTTAAATCATACTGTACTGCTACTTACAAGTTCTTCTCTGGGCCTTTTTAAAGGTATCGATATCGGTCTGAGTAAGTCTGACCCTTTTTTCCAACCAGTTTCTTCAAGCTCACATCTATCAATTTTTGTTTCTTCTCCTACAAAATATACAAAAAGTTATATATACAATACAACTTATAAAACGTTTTCCAATAGGTCTTACCACAAGTTCATGTGAAAACTACAACGAGCTAGCATTAGAGCAAGCAGGAAATGCAGCATTGCTGGTATATATGGCCCTCCAGCATTATGTTGGCTGAGATGTATAAACTGGCATTGCTGATATTCGCCTCCTGCTTGTTCCACTGCTAACTTTCTGTAGTTATCACATGCAAGGCGTATCGGAATAAATTCAATAGCTAATACTGTATGAATAAGTTATGTTGTATTTCTACCTACCTCATTTATTACAGTTTTAGTTTCGCTGTCATGTTTGTCATCTAGATTTTCCAGCTCGAAGGAGAAATCGTCTTGATGGATTGTAACATTATTGAGAGGCAAGCTATCTGAACCATATAGGCTAGTACCTCCAACAATCGATAGTGGATCAACAATTGATAAAATTAATTCCTGGGCTGGGTCTCTTATTTTTTTATTGATATCCCACCGCCAGTCAATAGCACTTCTTTTCTTTCCTCAGCTTTTTCTTTCCTAACTTCTCTTTTTTTATTATCATATAATTTTTTAAGAGAATCTGTTTCTCGGTGGCATCCTTCAGGACATGCTGAATTAAATGCATTTGTGATTTTTTTCCAGGTTTTATTTTTTCCTGCATGGAAACTCCATCTGTTTTTTTGTTTTCTAGGACATTTTTAAAATCACTAATGAGGGACAATAACAAAATTATCTCGTTGGGAGTGAAATTAGCACTTCGGTTTTTTTCTTTTAATTTGGGCAATTTGGCTACTACAACTCGGCTCATTTTCACTTTCACTCATGTCTATTGATAAAATAAATATTCAAAGTTCTTTCTTCTATTTTTTTGTAGTTGTTTAACTACCGCTATCTGTATAATGTTTCCGTGTTTTATAAATTTATGATCGTACAATAATAAAAGGCGAAAATAAGATGCAATATCGTGATTCGTGATCATCACATAAAATGTGAGGTTAGTTTATTTAACAATTCACTTTTTAGCAGCATATCCAATATAAAATTAAAAAAAAAAAGATAATTTACCAGATTTTTGCGAGGTTGCCAAGTGTAACAGATACTTAGCTAAGGAAGCCTCAAGAAGTGATGGTGCAAGCAAATAATAAATTAAGGACTCCTTATCTTTAAGGAACCCTTTACTATTCCTTGCTTAAATAGATGTTGGTGCAATTGGCTATTAGTGCTAGTTCTATAAAACTTACTTAAAATTAATCTCAGTTTTAGGTGATACATTTCAATTTCCGATGCTATATGTGCACTTTAATGTTTGGGGAAACAAGCCCTAAGCGCTAAATGGTGTTTAGACTGTACCTATGCCATACAAAATTTGTCATGCGTCACCTCAAACCGAGTTTAACTTTGAGTAAGATTTATACAACCCGCCCTTAAGATATCTTTAACTTTAAATAATAAGTCGTTGCAAACGGCTATTAGTTTAACACTTTGAATTACCTATTTAAAAATTTTATTTGTACCGGTCCGGTAATTTTAATTAAATCAATATAATTCCTATTTTTACAACATGTACTATGTACTTGTAATTAATTCCTTTTTTGAAAAAGTCCAGGATCCGTAAGTAAGGTCGACCTTCACCCATCTGTTTACCGGATGAAAATTTATTTTTATTAAACAAAATATGTTTTTAAATATACCGTAAATGGGTTGCCTAAAAAAATACGGTCACGGCCATTTTTTGCTTTCCTTTCTGTGTACAGATGAGGAAAGTATAGAAATCATGATAAAAGTTGCTTATGATATCATTCTCTATTATTTTGTTCCTATACATGATTTCCCTAAAATGGACCTAATTCGAGATATTTAAGAAAAATTGCAAATTTCGAATTTTGAAGACAACTCAAAAACGGATAAAGAGAAAAACACCAAATTTTAAACTTAGGCTTTAATCTATTCTGCGGTAAGCTTGGGCATAATCGAAGCATCTGGGAAATACTTTACAGGGTGTTGTTTTTTTATTTTTAGAAAATAAATACTCTGGACCAAATTTTCTTAGGCAACCCTTTTGCGATATATTTATATAAACATATTTTATTTAATAAAAAAAAACTTTCATCCGGTAAACAGGTGGGTGAAGGTCGACCTTATTTCGGATTTTAGACGTAATTATTTTTAAAGTACATGTAATTACCCAGCTCTGATCCATATACTTATTAGATATTTTTCAAACTTTTGACTTTATCATTGTTTTATTGTACCTATTTTTCAGCCTCTATTGTATTGTTTTTGCTTTGATTCTATTATTGTTTTTATCACCAACCGTCAATAAAGCCATGTATTATCATACCGATTTGCGGAAGTAAACAAACACTTTATTTCACTGTAAAAATCAAGTATTTTATCTGCCGCTAATATTTATCAACATACCCATGTCCATCTGACAAAAATAGTATGTAACTGATTTGTTTTGTATTCGCTGTTATTTTTCTATTTGTTTACTTTTTCATAATAAAATATTTCCTTTTTTAATAATTATAATTATTTACGGTTGGCGATAATTTTGTATAGACCACGTCAGCAAAATGTCTTTATCAAACTCGCCCGCCTGTTACTCGCCTCGCTCACTTTTCTTATAATCTGAGACTAGTTCGATAAATGATCACTTAGCTGACTTGGTACATAAATAACTATTATCTGAGTGATGTTATGAATTGTTATGGATCTAACCTCATAGAACTAATATTTTAAGAAGAAATAAGTAAAACACATAGTCTGTCAACCAGTCGAAGTTTTTTTAGTTGTAATTTTTATATGTGACCATTGAATGTATTTTAATCTTTACCTGCACATGTTGATATTTACAATTTTGTAATTCTATTCATTTAAGCAAATAATTTAATTCTAAATCACAATTAATAAGTTTATAAATATTTTGAATTTCAATCTACTAATAATATTTTACAGTAACTAAAGGTAAACATATTTCAAATTATAATCAAGAAATGTCTAATTCAAATTTCATTCTCTCATCATCTTCTTGATATTCATCTGTTTCTAGTGGAGTAAGAGGTGGCGATTCTTGATTTCCAAAACGATCCTAAAAGAAAACAAACTTTATTATTTGATACATTTTTCATGTGGTAACGAATAATTTTTTTTTTTTAATTTGGTGTCATCGGCGTCGACTACTACGGCCATTAGCCTCGTGTTCTGTGTAGGCTTTGTTACTGTTTCCCAGCGCAACTTTAGGAACAGCACTGTTAATTAGAACCCAACAGTGAATGGTCGAGTGGGGAATCCTACCTATGCATTAGAATTAATATTTAATTTTTTTAATAATAATTTCCATTTATTCAAATTACCACATTTTGATTTTATCTTTTGGATTAACGTTGGAAAAACATTTACTTGCATAGAAAATTATATATAAACTTTTGTAGAATTTTGTATAAACGTGTTTGGGTTACTCGCTATTTTATTTTTTCTTTCCTTACTTTGGTTTAAGAGTATATCAAATGTTTCATTATTCAAACAGGGACCTCCCATACAGGCTAAATACGTTTGGTATACAGACAGTTCAAAAACCAATTTAAGAATCGGGCTGGAATGTTTGGAACCAAATCGAAAACACTTAGCCTAGGAAAATATACAACAGTGTTCTAGGCCGAACAATAGCAAGTAGTAAAAGTATTGCCATCTACTCTGATACACAAGCAGCTCTAAAGGTAAGTTTCTTATCGTAAATCAAATCACGACTGGTAAAAGACTGCCTAGAAGACCTGACAAAGCTTAGCAGTGGAGTCAAAATAAAGTGACCTTAACCTAAATACCTAGCCACGAAGGACATTAGGGAAATGAAAAGGCCTACGAATTAGACAGAAAAGGCTCCTTTTAGAAGAAATGAGATATAAATGTAACCTTTATTTATTTTAAGCAGTTTATTAATTTATAATTTATTTGTACTAAATAAGTTATTTTCTCATGTATTTGTATTTAATACTAATTTATATTGATAATATTTATGTACACAGCACGATCTCTAATCTTCAGCTAACTAACGGCAAAAGTATCTATTTATATACCCAAATGTTGGGATCCAGACCTGGCTTTAAATTACTACTAAATATTTAGTGCATTCGCCATTTTCTACACACTACCCGAATTTCTAAATTCTTCGACAGGCAGTGTCTAGAGTCATCTAAATAGGGGGTCGGAGGTTGACTTATTTGATCGATAATTTTTAGTAATCCTACAAGTAGAAACAAAATAGGCCAGAGATGGATTAGAGCATGAACGAACTGATCAAAAATGGCTCGCACGACATACATAATAATTTTGGCTACGTTACGGAAAATGCGATTAAAACATAATTATTATGTGAATGCGACTACTGTAAGTTCTCTATACTAGGATATGAGGTAGGAAGGGGTCTTAATAATGAAATTACAGAAAAGTTAGTCAAAAGGTATACTAGTAACAGGAACCCAATGAATATTTCATCCCCGATCTAGAACCAACAGTTTGAAGGGAAAATACTCTAGGTACTTGCGAAACCCTGGCGTACCTATCCCTAGGAACTGTTAGATTATTTTATCAATTGTCAGAACCACGCAACTTTTTCCACAATATTTTTTTGTGTTTTTGTTTTATTTCCATTTATTTCTTTTGCCAGCCACGATTGAATGGTATTTCCGTAAGGACTCCCATGATCTTGTGACTGGTGATCGGGCTATTGTACCCTTAGTAATACAGTTGCGGTGTTGGATCATAGTAAAAAGGAATTTTTAGGACTTGTTACGACATTAGGTATCGGGGTGGTTTAGACAACCTGTTGTATTATTACAATAGCGGTAGCTCTTATATCAGTTGTGTTACATTAGCAGGAAGCTAACAATTGTTAAATTTGATGATAGCGATTTTTTATACTATTTCACTGGTACTAAAAGATATTCAAAATTATTTGTTACAGGGAACCCTGTAAGAAGTAAGTGTAAGTTGTTACACAATATCCCGTATGTTCTCCCTTACATCCAATATCTACTTACCTCAACTAATTGTTCATTTTCCAGTTTATCTCGATAATTTCTTTTAAAAAAATTGCACTAAAAAAATAAATTAAATGCCTTATTATCTTTTTAAAAGTGATTCATAAATAAAATATGTAGCCATAAATAGCTATTTGTGTATTAACCACTTAATTTACACATTTATTTTGATTTTTTGGTCAAAAAATTATCAAATTTATTTAAAGTACAAATTTAGTATTTTTATAATTTTTAAAATGTTATTAGAACACGCTCGCATCTGAAAGGAGCATAAAAAAATTTGTGATTAAATATAATGGTCGCCCGTGTCTCAGTTGAGAGCGTACAAAATTGCCAGTAAGACGCGTTCGTCTCTGACACGGACATGTACGTTAAGTGGTTAAGAGCGAAAAGTGATACTATGCCGCTTGAGAAAGAAAGTTAACAATCTGTCGAAAGCGGCAACGAACTTTTCACTCAAAGTGCTACAATGGCATTATTTTAAAAAATAGATATAAAATGTAAAAATTTGACGTTAGTAGTGTATAATGTGTTGCTTATATCTAAGTTAATCATGAAAAACGGAGTTGATACTCAAAGTCAATGTTAACTTGGATAATAAACCAAAAAAAAGCATCAAACTACGTACAAATAACTTGAAAATCATATATTAAAAAAATATTTTATTATAGCTAATTTAAATTAGGTGAGCAAAAAAGTTTTTTCCTCGGCGAGCGACAAAGCTGTCACTTAATGTCAGTTCACGAAAAACGTCAACTTTGTGGTTATATTTCGAAGCGCCAAAGCCTACTTTTGATAGTGATCGTAGAAAAAATGTATTTTTTTGTCCAAAACTGTTCATTCTCCGGTATTGTGTAATTAAAGATGTGGGGCCAGAGATGACAATTTTACAAATTGAAGGAGAAATCTTTACTATTAGACAAAAGTAAGGCAACTTCTATGGTAAAATGAAACTAGATTGAAGATATAATGCTTGGCATTCTATATAACTCTTCACGGTTTAAGAGACCCCTTTAACCTTAATTTTTAATTAGATTTTTTTCAGAATCAATAGACTTCATCCCCTTATAAACCTTGATATTTCCTGAAGATTTTAATTTGAAATTATTTTTTCTTTCTGATTAGGATATTTCTCAATATTGCAACCCGCCCTTATCTCCCCATTTTTATTTATTTATTCCCTTATAGAGCTTAATTTTTACTAAACATTTCATGTTGATATCGCTTTTGGTTTGATTCCTATTTTTTTTTATTTTAACCCCCTTTGACCCCTATTTTAATTAGATTTAAATCAATATAATATGCTTTGTCTCCCCTTATAGAGCTTAATTTTTTCCAAAAGTTTCAAGTTGATATTATATTATTCGTTTTTGAGTGAGGATTTTTTTAAATATTTCAATCCGGATTAACCCGCCAATTTTATTCAATTTTTTTCAGAATTAAATAATTTATATAAAACAAAATAAGTAACCGTGAAAATCAAAATTCATATAGTTTAAGTGGTCATAATAGGTGTTGCTCCATATACTTTGATTTTCTTTGTGTTGCTCTCATAGGTGACATGGGATTGTTTACAAATGTCAAATAAATTAGTACCTTATAACTTGTTTCAATAATTCACTTTATTAGCGACAAAAGTATAGCAACTCTTTGATTGGATGTAAAGGAATAGTAGAAAGGTAAGTATAAGTATGGTATTTTTCAGGTGAATTATGCTAAACAGTTCTCTATTCTCAGAAATAAATATGCCAAAAGGAAAAATAATGTGTACGGAGGTACAAGAAATGGTCGTAAATTACTTTAGAAGAAAAGTATACGATTCCGTTTTCCAAACAGGTTTGACTTGTCCAAATGTAATGTGTCAAAATTAATTAAACATTTTAATGAAAAATAACATGTAGAAAAAATGCCGAAATCGGGAAGGCTCAAACAACTACATTTTTGATGGGCAGGAGAATCAGAAGAATTTTTAAAACGTATCAGTGGTTGTCAGAATCAAGAATTGTTGAAATTCCTGAACTGAAAGTCAGTGCAAGAACTGTCCAACGACGAATAATTGAAGTTAAACTTTACAATAGACGTCCTTTTAAGAAACCGTTGGTTTTCTAAAGTAATTGCCCCACGACAGGCTTGAATTTGTACATCATTTGAAATAAACAGAGTATGAGTGGAAAAAAGCATTGTCTAGCGATGAAAGTCGTTACAAAATGATGGAATGAGGTATGTTAGGCATCCAGTTAATACGATATTTCATCCAAAGTATGGAACGCCAACCATAAAGCATGGCCAAGGTAGTTTGTTTGTAGGGGGTTGTTTTTCGAGGTTCATTTCTTCTACAGGGACATACTCCAAAACGTTATGCTTCCATACGCTCAGCTGGAGATGCCTTTGCAATATGTATTGCAACAAGCCAACGACCCGTCTTTCCTTGTTCAGGAGAATAATGTCCAGGTTATTCGGTGGCCAGCACGATCACCAGACCTCAAATCACACTGAGAACCTCTGGGAATAGGTTGAACGTCGTATTCGGACTAGAAGATTCCCAAATCCCATTTTACTTATGTCAGCATCCTACTATGACCCCTTTAACTAGACGAATTTTGATTTACATGGTTTCTAATTTTATTATAATTAAATACTCGTATTTGATTTTATCATAAAAGTTGCCTAACGTTTATCCAATATTGAATTATTTTTCAAATTGATGTTTTTTCTTTTTATCAATATATCTAAATACTAATTTACTCTCAAATGTACTGATGTTTTGGAACTTCTTATAACATAACGTATGGTTAATAAGTTTTACGAAAAAGAGTTTGTGACACCTATTTTTTTTGACAATAAGCTAAATTAGTGCTGATGTACATTTGATCCCACTGACTCATTACAATGTCAGTAGACTTTTGAGTTCGTTTTGTTCGTTTTGTTCGTTTTGTTCGTTTTGTTCGTTTTGTTCGTTTTGTTCGTTTTGTTCGTTTTGTTCGTTTTGTTCGTTTTGTTCGTTTTGTTCGTTTTGTTCGTTTTGTTCGTTTGTTCGTTTTGTTCGTTTTGT